TATCCTCTACAGGTCTAAGAAGTAGGAGGAGTAATTAAAACGCAAATAAAAAAATTGTTTCCGTTCTACTCAGAATTCGGTTTAACAGGACTGGAGGCCTTCTCATTTAATTTTTTTCCTCTCTGACCAGCCATCATAAAATGCAAGAGCCAAAGAAAAAACACAATTTAAAACTGAAACAAGTTAAGTAAAAATTGTAAAGTTTCAAAGGGCTGTAAAAACTTTATTTGTTGATTTAGTTTTTAATACCTGCAATGTAAATCTTCGTTTACTAACTGATTGTCCTTCTGTTCTACGATTTAATACTGACGATGGAGCTGGAAGAAACGACGAATCATGATTTAACATGATGTTAAACTTGATCAAAATATTAAATTAATGTTATGTTTTCAGAGCAGTGCATTTTTTCTTTCGAGAACCATTTACCAAGCTACGGTTTATTCGCGTCATGTTCCGATTAGTGGTCCAGACTGAATTGCTGCATGGGACATTTTCCTGTAAATTTTATTATTTGCGCCTTTTTTCAACAGCGTTGGCCGTCAAAAACTGCGTTTACCTGGAAATTTCGGATTTTTTAATGTATAAAAACCTTGACATGTTGGATTATTGCGCTTCATTTGAGTTTTCATTATTGGGAGCAAATAGCAGCAGTTGATTAAACTACTGCAAACCTAATAAAAAAGTTTAAATCCAATGCTCATGAAGTTGGCCAAGACTGGCTTTCCCATCTTGCTCTACTTCAGTGATTCGTATTGGTTGGTCCTACTCCAAAGACTTGCCTTCATTGGACAGTGACCGCCTTGAACCTTTCCATACAAGCAGGTTTTGGATGAGCTGGCAATTATAGCTGTAGTATGTCAAGAGATAGTAATAGCTCTTGTTTTTTTTTAATTTCACAATGTTATTTAGGCAATACAGGGATGAAGATGTTGCATGTTGTCCATCGCAAATAAAAGCCAAGCCTAGTATAGTATGTGTAACGTGTGTTATTTCCAACTCTCATTTTCATTCTTAATAGAAATATAAGTACTTGAAAAATTGATGCAGCTTACGAGAATTTACCGCCATTTTTAGAAAATATTTTCATTTTCTATAACTATTATTGACGATGATTATAGATTCACTGAATGCTTGTTGTGACATTTTCATAGTCGTGTAGCTGTTTTATCTGACTTTGTTTTCTTTTTAGCGCATTTTCTCATTTATGGAAACAATGCATTATTGTGCTAGCCTTGTCCGTCCGTCTGTCCGTCCGTGACTTCACGTTTTCGTCGACGAGAAAATGCGCTCTCTGTCACTCATTGAGTTATATTTTTTAGGAAGTTTCCCCGCATTCGTTATTTTAATGGTCATATATCATTTACAACTTTAGAACTATTGCATATTAGTACTATTGTGCTTTCATTGGTATGTGTATTAAGAGGCATGTTTTTTAAGTAAGGACCGTTATAGAATTGAAAAATGTAGATCAGTACTCACTGCAGTGAGTGACAGAGAGCGCATTTTCTCGTCGACGAAAACGTGAAGTCACGGACGGATAGACGGACGGACGGACATGGCGAGCACAATAGTGCATTTTTTTTCATAAATGAGAAAATACGCTAAAAAGACGTACAAAGATATCGCAGGATTTCTATTTTTACAAGAAAGCCTGTACCTTCATCTACTTTTCTACATCATTTTCGTTAATATTTAGGCACTTGTCATAACGTGGCACCAGTTTTTGAATACCCTCCTGATAAAATTCTGCCGCCTGACTTGGGGGTGAAATTCTGCTGAAATTCAGAATTCTGCCGAAATGAGGTGAAATTCTGCTGAAAAACGTCTGAAATTTCTTCTCCCTGACGAGTCTGGCGGCAGAATTTCAGGCGTTTTTTCAGCAGAATTTCACCTCCATTTCAGCAGAATTCAGAATTTCGGCAGAATTTCACCTCCAAGTCATTTTATCAGGAGGGTATTTAAAAACTGGTGCCACGTTATGACAAGTACCTCAATATTCATGGAAATTATGTAGAGAAGTAGATTAAAGTACAGGCTTTCATGAAAAAATATAATTATTGCGATATCTTTGCACGTCTTTTTTAAATCCCAAAACGGTCCTTACTAAAAAAAACATGCCACGTACAAGGCTACTAAGTCTTGGCCTTCCATTTGGTGTACCTGACTTCCGAATACAGTTATCATGCGTCAGTCCTTGCCCAATGCCCAGTTGCCCTACCTGCTACTAAGCCTAGACTATGAAGCAATTTTAGAGGAAACAGTGGCAGCGGTGTTTACGGATGAAACTATTGGGTACTACCTACAGCCGTAAAATATAAGTTGATCAAAATATCAGTCGCCGCATTCTATTTTCGCAATGTTATTTGCCAACTCATCTGCAATCGATTAGTGTTTGATTGAACATTCGTTTCAGTTTAGTTAACCTTAAAAACTCTTTCTTTTGTTTTTCCATCAGAGAGTTTGAGTCACAGGGCAAACTATGGCAGTTGTTATGCGGAGACTTGAGTCCTGTCTCTTGAGGCATTATACTGTAACTTACAGCCGCACAATACACAATTACTGCGAAATTCACCTAAAGTATACATATTTCTTTCACCTGCATGAATGTATTTGGATATTGAACATTGTTTCAAATTCTGTGTTTAGAGTATTTATATCTGTTGAAGTGTCGTTTGAATCACAGATTACATGTATGTAATCTGTCCTGTCGTTTGAATTACATTACAACATGTTTGAATTACAGATTACATGTATTTAGTTTGAATTACTGATGAATGTAACAATATTAGAAATTATCTTGCACTTTAGTGAGCATTAGAAACATTTATATCGGATTTGTAATCTCGTAATTAGTAAAACGGGGGATCTTCTACACATAAACACTTCTCACTCTCAGGCACCATATTCGCCTTAACCCACGCTGGCCGCTGCCTAGCCAACTTTATTCCAAGCGTTAACTTCAGAACTCTGGCGTGTGCACTCGACTATAAATAACGCTTTGTCTCAAATGTTAACGGCCAAAATTTATCTATCCAATGCTTAGATATCTGATAGGACGTTAGAACGGTGAGATTAATTAAGTAAGAAATTTGAATTTTTATTCATAAGCTCTATCATGCCAAAGTTATCCTATTAAAATAATTTGACTGAGGCCGGATGTTTTGGATGAATTTTGATTAGTGACTGGAAGGTATCATGGTTTCGTCGTGATCAAATCTCGCACTAATGCTCAGGCTTTTGTGAATAATCCAATAAATATTTATGCTTGTAAGCGTGAACTGCATCAAGCGTGAGGTAACAATATTTTATTTTTGATCTCTAAGCAAATTGATCATAATTACTCATTATTTGAAAGAATTAATTGATTTTAATTGCACTTGCCAAAACCATGATAAGCGTTAACACGGTACAAGTTACGTCAGTTCTCGTGTTCATCCATTCAACCAAAAGCTTTTCAATGCGTTTAATTAAACGCATCAAAGTTAATGGGCAAAAAAATGCATCCACCTCAAAACTAATAAATTTATTCGAAAACTATTGATGAAATAAAATCTAAGGCCCTCACGCTTCTGTTAACTCTTTTTTTTAGTATTTGGTGTTGAACTCTGTAGTCAGGAGAAAATTAATTCATGTTAGTTACTAAAATTGATCTACAAAATTTTAAAAGTGACTCTTTTCAGTATTTTTGACAAAAAATGCAGGTAGAACAAATTGGAAAACCAAAAATCACCAAGCAGTTTAGATAAATTAAAATAAAATACAAATTTCACTCAATCAAGTCTACTAAGAAATGAAAAATTTCATATCTCTTATCGATGCCATAAATTATTAGATACTATACAGCGACGGACGTAATCGCTGCCTAAAATAATCTGATTTTCATGTTTGACAATAAATCTAACTTTACAAAATCACATTAGGTGAGTAATTCCAAACATATATTTAACCAAAATACTAGATTCATGTTAAAATTCGCCCACGGTTCAAATAAATTTTTACTATACGATAAAACAACTACAGTTATTTAAGAGATAATAATAATTTTGTGTCATACGAGTTGGAAATTTTTCCAATTTCTAATTTATGAAGACAAATTCTCCCGCTGGTCCACAGAACGATTAAAATAATGAAATTCGCTATTAAAATTCCATTGCTGTTACCACTATTTTTAAATATCTTCCTCGTAAATTCGAGCGATATTTATCTCGATAATCCAGGGCGTGAATCCGGAGCAATTTTACATTCTTATTCTTGGACGCAAAAAAAAAAAAATGTTGTCACGTTTATACAATTTTTTGCCAAGAGGAATCGTCGCGACTGCTAACGTCATATGTTAAGGTAATACCACTCTTAGAATAGGAACAGAGATCTTTCAGTCTCCTTATGAGATCAATGCAAAGAAGTCATTAGTATTATGTAATTATTATCATTAGTATTATGTAAAGGTTATTGTGCTCCTTGTTGACGATCGAAGAAATTTCTATTAGTCGATGTTGTGCCGAGGCTCATAGCCCACGCGGTGCAGATAAATAACCTAAACGCATTGCTGCCGCCCAACTAATTTTACAAAATATTGCTGCAGTGCCGAAGTAAGCTTATTCATTGCCATGCTGGTTCCAACTTTTATATAACTAAGTTTTGTCTAGAAATTGTTGCTATTTCATTCCTCGCATCCAATTCAAAACTCGATGCAGATAAGAGATCTCAATTCTTCTAAATGCTGAACAAGCTCTTGCTACACCTCAGCATAGCGCAAAAAATATCGATACTCTTTGACCCTAAGCAGATTTATCGCTACTTGTCGATGATTAGCAACATTTCCTCACTATTTCTCGTTGGTGAGCCGAGATCTCGCTAGTTTTAGATCCTGATCACGATTTAGCTACTCCTCGATAGTGATTAGTCATACTCAGCTCGCTAGTCTCGCTTCTCCTTGATGCTGAACAGAGATCTTGCTACTCCTCAATTCTGAGTATAGGTATAGCTTTTGATTTTAATACTCAATACTGAACAAAGAAGTCCCTTCTTCTCGATGCTGAGCAATTATCGTCTGTCTCGATCGCTTCGCTGTTGATCTCCATTTTCTGTTTAGCGTCAAAATGCAACATGTTAAAAAACTTCGCTGCTTATTTTTAGCGCATTTTCTAATGTATGAAAAAAAGGCGCTAATGTGCTCGCCATGTCCGTCCGTCCGTCTGTCCGTCTGTCTGTCAGTCCGTGATTTCACGTTTTCGTCGACGAGAAAATGCGCTCTCTGTCACTCACTGCAGTGAGTACTGAGTTATATATATTTTTTGAAGTTGACATTGCATTTTTCCGGCAGCAAATGCGACAGTGATCAAATAATTTTCGATTATTTTGACTTTTATTTAATTTAAAGTTTTTCGAACTTTGGTGGTTCATTGTGAAGGCTACATTTACGATTTTTTAGATAAGTATGATAGAGAGTTTATGAACATAAGACGTATTCAATAAATAGTTTCTGTTCGCTAAATTAATTCAGAATTTATATAATACTTTTTCGGCAGCATTTTATCTGGGCCAAAATTCTCATTGGTCATTATATCACACAAATTTTACAGAGAAAAGCAAAAATGGTTAGGACGTATAAGTGGAAAATGTAAACCATAAAAATATTCTCTACCAAAAATTTCGTTCTACATAGAACAAGGTTCACTGAACTCAAATGAAAAAAGAACATAAATATAATTGGAAAATGATTATTTTTCTAAGTTATTATAGTAAAGGCATTGCAGAAAATACTCTGACCCTTTGCGCTGTATAGGAAATATACCTACTTATAATAAGAACTCTGAACTCGGTGATGCTCAAGAGCATACTTCTCCAACTCGACGAACAAAATTAGGCTTTAAAACCCTAATTATTAAGCAAGTGCCGAATTTCATTTATTCCATTAGGGTAATTCTATCACTATCATTTAGACTTTTTTTCACACAAAGTACTGTGTATAACACCTTCACGGTCGTTTTAAACTAATGTAGGTAGCCTTCGCACCCAATGCGATATACATGCGAAAATAATCAGTTGCTGAGCAGAGGCTAATGAAATAAATAATTCTATACCAGAGTGCCCAATGATGCTCATTCGGAACGATTGAAGCCTAGCACTCTCTTCATGGCCAATATTAACCTGACTGGTAAGAAATTCACTACATATTAAGGTAACCCTAGATAAATCAGCAACGGGAAAACTAAATTTCATTCAACACTCCATAAATGTCAAATGCCTAGCACCATATCTAACCCGTGGAAGTCTAGTAGCTACTTCAAACTATCGTGAGGATCCGGACACGATTTTAGATCTTCCGTGAACAAGGCACGAAAAGAAAAAGAATCGGCGACAGACCACATCACAGGTCTACACTTCAGCGCCGAGATCACTATGTTATGTTATGTTATGTTATGTTATGTTATGTTATGTTATGTTATGTTATGTTATGTTATGTTATGTTAAGACGGACATGGCGAGCACAATAGTGCATTTTTTCCATAAATGAGAAAATGCGCTAATAATTATATTCCAGAGTGCTTAATGATGATCATTGATTACGATTGAAACCTAGTACTCACTTCGTGTCCAATGCTAACCTGATTGGTAATAAATTCACTACATATTAGGTAGCCCTGGATAAATCGGCTACAGGTAAAACTAAATTTCATTAAACACTCAACAAATGTCTAGAAGAAGCGCTGACGCACCTGCATGATGAGCTTGAGTAGCTTGGTCTGCTGGTCGAGCTGCGCCGCGATGGAACGGAAGCGCAGCTGGTGCGACTCCAGCTCCTCCCAGATGTACTCCTCCGAGCAAGAGGGTTCCAGGACATCAAGCTCTGCACAACGAGGATCAGGGTTATTTTAACTCATACTTGGTCGATCACTGTATGATTGAAGGCTGGTTATCTCATAGTTGAACTAGTATAAGGTTGACCCATGGGATGCTCATTTTTGCGGATGTAGTTCGTTGTTCGTCTGTGACGTCAGTGATCTCAGTGACGTCACGGGCATTGACCAATCACCGAAATGCGATGAAACCAGTCAACTAATCCGTCGTGGGAATGACGGGATTGTTTACGTTTCTCGATCTCAGTGACGTAACAGTTAAGCTGAACTGAAAGACGGATGTCCTCGTGGGTCAACCTTATATAGTTCAACCATGGGTTATTTATTGCAGACGGTCTAAACGTTGGATGACCACAAATGCCATGCCGGATTGATTGATGTGTTCGGTTATGGGTGATGAATGCTGGATTGATCTATGATCACTGCCCTGTTTTTGCGACCACAGCCCGATTGATGTGCTGCAAGAGAAACTTTCCAAAACCTAACCAAATAGATTGATTATAAACAACCCGAACAACAAACTTCCATTATATTTTTAAATTCTAGATAAAAATATGCATAGCATAAGGTAGATTTAGAAGTCACTCAGAAATTATTTGGTATTCATCTGAACTGTTTCTTTACCTGCTTATTCTCAATTTCGGTTTTTGTTTATATATAAGTTTTCTAGAGCTACTTCCACACAAATACACGTCACAAGAACACTTCAATTCATCTAAGTACAGGTCCTTAGAACCATTTTTTTTGCTATGGAGACACTGGCAGTTAAAAATTTACCAGTAATTTTATGCATTATCTGAATTGTTATGTTTTAAGCCCATGTTACTCGTGAGCTCTTATCATTCACGTAAGAAAAATTAACCTACAAAACGTAAAACTAATCTGCAAAATTATCTTTATGTGGTTGAAGCAAACCTGCAGAAGTGTCCTTATATGGCATGCAGAAGTTGAGGGCTTGAACAAGGCCTTGCAGGAAGGAAGTTTTGACGCTGTCGTCGTTAGGGTAGACGACGATCTCTTGTTTGTTGACGCGGGATATGAGAAGAGATGGCAGCTTATTTTCTAGGCCGGTGTGCAAATGAACCTGAAGAGGGGGAAACGTCACATTAGTTTTTAGTGGTTGACGCAACTAATCGGGTTTGAAGACTTAGGGAGAAAGGACACTAAACCCTAAACTTGGAAGAATTGATACAAATGAATTTAAACTTAATATGGATCAATGATGAAAGAAAATAAAAGAAAGTAGAAGGGAAAAGTGAAATATAAAATAAAAGATGAAAATATTTTGGAAATCATCGCATAAAGAAGATTTGTAGTACATGATAAACATTACGGTTTCTCAGATGTTAGAAAAATTACCGTTAACGGTATTACCTGCGTTTCTCTTAGCCAATTAAGAGAGTAATGTTTAATTCTTTCAAGGAGACTGAGTGAACATGAACTAGAATGATGTATTTCCCCTTCATTAAATTTAGTAGACATTTAATAGTAAAAAGCCTAAATGATTTTGTTGTTATTATTAAACTGACGAGCAAAATTTAATCTAACAAGTAAAGGTTGACGGCTCTTACTTGCATCGCCACGCGCTTGAGCTGTGCATTCTTTTTGACGCTCTCGATGTCGCCAACCGCCAGACCGATGAGCAGATTCATCAGCAGGATTGGCATGAGGATCATGAACACCACCAGAATCGCTGAAACATAGAAAAATGTTTGAGTTACCAACCCTAGATGACAGCATCCCAAAATATGTTCAGTTTTGAAAGGACTAGCACCATACCTAACCCGGTGGAAGTCTAGTAGCTATTTCAAACTATCGTCAGTCGTGAAAATATCTGGTCAAATAACACGATTTTAGATCTTCTATGAACAAGTCACGAAAAGTTCAAGATTCGGCGACAGGCCACATAAGGCCTACTCTTTAGCGCCGACATCACTATGTTATGTTATGTTAACAACCCTTGAATTCAATAATAAACTAATGAAATATATTTTACTAATTTCGATGATAACTAATGCTGGTTTCCCGCGCCAGGTGCTCTATAGGATCGAGGTAACTAGATTGGACTGGGAATTATTATAATAACAATTATATTAGTCATAAACAGGCATGAATATTGGCTGTCTTATAGCAACAGTTTTTTTTACAAATTTGAAAGTTTAACAGCCATGTTAGGAAGATCAGGTAACATAGCAGCAATTCTGCACACATAAAACTGAAAGTGCATTCCTATAATGATTTTTTTTAAACTAAGCTGGAGCACATTACGAACGAAAACCATTTAGAAGTACCGAATGATGTTACTTTTTGATTACGTAGACTATGGCACTGAACTAAATAAACGAGAAATGCAGGATTGTTTACTTAACGAACCGCCAAGATTTGAAAATCAAACATGATTTTGGTTTGCAAAGAAATTGATACGTAAATTTAGGAAAGCCCGTTTAATTTCCTCACTGAATGTGGTGTTGGGGAAAGGCAGCGATCGCTCGATGTTTGGCTGGGCGCTGGCTTCAAAATACGGGTACACGAATGTGTTAAGGAAGTCGATCTCGCCAAGCATCATTGAGAAGGTCCTCAACATCGACATGGGCACGCTCGAGTACGCCATGTGGTTGCCCTGCAATTCAGCAAAATGAATGGAAAAAAAATTTAAAAAAGAACATAATTTCCCGGGTCGGGTGATTTTTCATCGAGGTGTTGAGTTATTGATGTTCGAACTGTCAGACGTACTTCAATATATGGTGTGGAGGAAACAATTATCACAGGGTCTTGTGATATAAAAGTTTGACATAATCTAAAATTTGGATATAATAGATTTTCATTCATCACAGAGCTAATTGTTAACTGTCGCAATGAATTAAGCATTCTGTTATCGAGCAGTCAAGAAATCTGCTATCACTTTTCCCTTGGATCAAACTTCAACCCTCCATATTACACACCACAGTGTGTAATATTATACATTATCGACTAATTTTTTTCTCCAATTTTTTTTAATGGCCTAAGACTAGAGTAAAAACTAGCCGAATGCAATAATGAGAACTGAGAACACCGCCAGGACCTTCAGCAGAGTGCGCAGGATCTCCAGGAACATCACGATGTAAATTCCGATTCGGTCGAACCTACAAGCGTTGTGAATTGGAGACAAGTTATGAAATAAGACGTTGGAAAATGCAACAGGCGTCAGCTATTAAGATGACTTTACGATGGAAAGTTCATGATGTGAAATAAGTAATTTCTTAAAATACAGTGCACGCAGTGCAGAGAAATCGGAAATTTTATAAATACAAAGTAACACGAGCATATATTGGTGCCACAAGCCAGGCATATATTACGACAAGACATGAGCGTTTGGAAATAAGATTATAATTTAGAAATAGATAGTAAGATATAAAATTATTTGTGGGAAATAAAGTAGATCACGAGTTGAGAATGGTTAGAAACTAAATTGTTGGGGATATTTTAAAAATGATGCTTACACATACCTTAGTACGCATCATTTATTACTTGTGCATCGTTTCGAGTCCAATTTGAGTGTATCTGGATGCGTCATTTACATTGGAAAAGATGCAAGTAATACGTACCTTTGAAAGTAAAGGAGCAGAGTGAACCAGGCAGTGAAGACAGCCATGGCCGCAGAGTTGTATTGATGTGCTCGCCACTCTGTGCCCACGAAGACCGGCAGCACCATACAGATAGCGGACAGGTACAGTATCCACTCGATTAGGTTCATCCCGTCTGCCAGATACTGAAATTTTGATGGAAAAATTTCAGCATGAAACTGCTTGGAGTGTGATTACTTTTTAGCCTTCGAATGGCAAGAGAAGGAACATTTTTTCTTCTTCAACCTAATAACAATACAGCATGTAAAAATACAATACAGCATTACAATAAACAATATACAGCATGTAAAAAGTTGTATAGTTATTTATAAAATTTCAGACAACAGTTAGTTTGCTGGAATATGGGAAATTATATTCAACTCCACAAAAATAATGACTGATTTCCCTTTTCTAAAACGCATACTCATCGCGGTTTACTTTCATTGAAAACATTTTGGTTTGCTAACTATTATTCGGTTGTGATGAAAAGAAGTGATAAATTTTTCAAGATGAACTATATAGGGTGCTGTACTAGGTATTGTGAAACACTAACAATTCTCCGTGAGTAAACAGACGTTTTCACGGCGTTTCAAATGTATTTTAATTAAACTTGGGTTGCATCTCGTCTCTAACACAATCGACGCGTAGGAAGTGATTCGCGTAATAAGAAGAATATTAACTTAATGGAAAACCTCTTTACTCGATGGCATCTCCTGTAAGTGTGCATAGACCATAGACGTCCGCAAGTGACCATAGACGTCCGCAACACTCATTAGTCTCCAGAAAGTTTGCTTAAATGTTGCGATGCCACTAGGAAGTTAGGAACGTGTGGAAAAGAACAAGGAGTGGGCCTGAGTCACCAAAAACAGGAAGGAAAAGTGGAAAGATAGTCGGTGATGTAATGGGAGCATAGCGCGTAAATAGACTGATTGGGGTTGGGGCGGAAGGTGTCGGGAGGCATGGTGGTTTATTACTTACATTTTTTGTATAATAAAAAAAATCTCATTTCTACCCTCTTTATCTTTATTCATTAGGTTTTTTCTTGTAGTTTTTATTGCTCTCTTTGTTTTTAAGGATATGGTAAAGGCGATGTCGCAGTCTGTTGACGACGGTGAGCGAATCACTCGAGACTCAGTTGTAGGTTTGAGGAGTCGGTTGTTGGGTTAATGCTGCTAATATGTTGGGTGATCAGTCTCGCAGATCTCCCATAGTGTATGTGGTTGGGGAGTGTGGGGTTAGTGATTACGTGTACAGGGGTGGAGGTGGGGGTCTTATTGTGCGAGTGATATGGAGACTGAATTCTTAAAAACTGGTGTTGTCTTTTCTTTCTGTGGTTTTTGGGGGGAATATGAGTTGATTGAAGAGCTGTTAAATGGTACACGGAGCAGATATCCATCACTTACTTCCATCATCTGGTAGTGCGCGCGAAATAAGCTACTTCCACCGCATCTTTTGCTTCCATCTTCTTGTAGTGCGCGCGAAATAAACTACCTCCACCGCATCACTTACTTCCATCTTCTGGTAGTGCGCGCAAAATAAGCTACCTCTACCGCATCACTTACTTCCATCTTCTGGTAGTGCGCGCAAAATAAGCTACCTCTACCGCATCACTTACTTCCATGTTCTGGTAGTGCGCGTGAAATAAGCTACCTCCACCGCATCACTTACTTCCATCTTCTGGTAGTGCGCGCAAAATAAGCTACCTCTACCGCATCACTTACTTCCATCTTCTGGTAGTGCGCGCAAAATATGCTACCTCTACCGCATCACTTACTTCCATGTTCTGGTAGTGCGCGTGAAATAAGCTACCTCTACCGCATCACTTACTTCCATCTTCTGGTAGTGTGCATGGAATATTTCTTTAATCAGACCACAGCCGCTGAAGAAGGCAATTAGGATGGCTAGCAGATACCCAAATGTTCCGAACTGATGCTGAAAAAGTTTTTTATTAGTGAAGAAAATGTCCCTGAATTTAACAGTTTAGGGGCATTTAGGACCAAGCTAATGATATATCTAACTCAACAATAAATTGGATTATTATAGATTCTAATATTTTCATTCTCCACTTTCAAAGACAGAAGTGATGAACTTGACTTCTTCACAGTAAAGAATACGCTCAAATATTACACAATAATTTCCGAAAAATCTCTCCTCTCCTGAATATTGAATTACATTAGTGACATCATAACTTCATAAGACTTTCGTTCCTGACGGAGCATCAAAAAAATGCTTTTTATGCAATTTGGAGTGATAATTTCTGAATAAATACTCAACTTAGAGAAGACTTTTAGAGTTTTGTTGAGCTAAATCAAATTTTAAATTGTATGAAATTATGTAACAATCAATACTGTGATTCGTGGAAACTTCCTGTTTTGTATATAGCGCCAAGCAGCCATATGTTGTAGAAAAAGGGCGGGGATATGAGAAATGTTAGTCTGAGGGATTGTCTGAAAAGCATCTTGCAATATCAGTGAACGACACTCTAAAAGTATTGTTGACTGGCTCTACTAAAAAATTGCATCTACATCGATGTAATGAACAAATATTTATTATGTTACAGTTCTCAACACAAATTAATTTTTTTGTGTATGAAACAAAAAACCTTAATTTGTAGACCAGTAGCGATTGCTTCGGCAGGCCCGTCTGTGTGGTTGAGATATCGCGTTGAAGTGGAGGTTGGGTTGAGAGCTTCCAGCAGCTGCTCTTGACACTTTCCTCCTAAGATTCCAGAAGCGAAGATCGTGACAGAAGTCAAGAAAGTGATGTAGATCAGCAGGTAGATCATGTTCACATACATACCGTACGCCTGCCACTTCATTTGCAAGAATTTCTGCGTCAGAGGATGCATTAATAGCTCCACGCGACGACTGTTCACCATTGCCTGTTGATATATAAACCCTCTAGTATACATTATAAAAATGCTACTTTCTTTAGGAAATATGGACAATTGTGTATGAGGAGCCGGTGGTATATATTTATTATACTATATTTTACAATCGTTTGTTAATAAAAAAAACTTCACTGTGTATCATCAGTAATATCAAACTTGAACATTTTTGTTTTATTATAGTAAATTAATTGGTGAGCTAGAACATACTTTCTATTTTTTTCGTTTCTCCCTTTCATTTTATACCTCGCATGAATCAGGATATTCGTTTAGATAATATTATTGTTTTCAGCAAATGAATCGCTTTCGGCATTTTCTTGCTCATTTTCCTGCGCACACATAATTTAGAAAAAATATACATAAACAATAACGCCTATTATACATTTCTTAAATCAAAATATGTATCCAGTGAAAATTCTCCTGCAGAAAAATCTCTAAAACATTCAACAAATATGGGGTCGAGGGCGAAGCTAAAGCCATTATTTGAACTCACGTTGCAGGCAAACAGGGGAGGAGGTCGCCAGTCGGTATCTTTTTTAACCGACCGCATTTGATCGATCTGACCGCAATTGAGTTGCAACGGAGAAAAATTGTAGGTTATCTGAAAATTGGAGAAAAAATATCATCGTCAGCAAATATATCAATGTATCATCAAATATCAATATGGAAAGATAAAAGTCGATTTAATTATGGTAACAAATTTTGATTCAACTACAATTTTTGTTAAATATTTTGTGACCGATAAAAATGTAGCGAGTAATTTCTTCTTTATTTAGAAATGGCTCTGATTTGAGTTTGATTAAAGAAAAATCATATTCGTAAATCGACTCATAAAATCTCTAAAACTCGCAACTAAATTAATAATAATGTTTTTAGCTTGAGAAATAGTAACTGTTATATACCCTCAAGGAAGCATTTCTCATCCAAAGCATTCAAGCCAGAGAGATGATGTGTCTCCTTGAAATTTCATTGCAAGCAAGCAACGCTTAGTCTGATGTCCATTCAGTCACCTGAAGACACAGAAAATTGAACAAATAATATAAAATATCCTGATTAGCTCACGTAGTATCGTTTGGAGTCTTCCTTGAAGTTTGATTTTGTGATGGCTTGGTTCAGCGCAGCTTCGAAGACTTTAGGGAGGGACCTGATCAGCTCCATACTCACGCAGCCGTGAATCTTGCTTCCCATCGGTAAAACCTCCGTAGGTCTTGGAGAAATAAAAAATTTTTACTCTAGAATTGGAATAGATTAGGCAAATAACGGCCCACAAAAAACTTGAGTTGTTGGTAATGTATACAGATTTATTCAACTATAGCTGATCACGCAGCAGTAAATTTTGTTTCCCATCGGTAAAACCTACGTGGGTCTTGGAGAAATGAAATAAAAAATTTGCTCTAAAATTGGAATAGATGAGGCAAATAACGGCCCAAATGAAACTTGAGTTAGGTAAGGTATAGAGATTTATTCGACTATAGCTGACGTGCCGTTTTTACAACTTAATTGAGCGATATTTTCAGAAACGTAAATAAAATGAGCCACCAAAATACTTTCAACCAATATTAATGGATTTTTAAGGTTTGTATGTTTTAAAAATAAATTTGAAATACACATAAACAAAAGTTGAAATAAACACAGAAGACTGAATTGAAGTCATAAAACATATTAAGAGTTTCGATAACCGACATGTTTTCTTCGAGTAGATTAAAATATGAGCAATTCGTGTAATGAAAAAAATTAGCACATATAAAAAATGATTATATTAAAATCAAAACATTCACATTAATTCATTGTCCTCATTATTTTTTTTTTTTCAAGCCTCGAAATTCGGAGTAATTTAAAAGCGAATGAGTTATTTACAGCAAAATAAATATTTCTTTGTTGCACATAGAAACTTTGATGTTTTACTCGAAACCTCAATTATTTAAATCATTAAATTATTAATTTCTAATGAGAAACTGAGAAGTTTGTTAGAGGGAATTTAGAATTTTAAATTAATTTATGATATTGTGATTACGTCCATGATTGAAAGTGTATTCAATAGGAGAACTTTTGCTACATAACAACATTCATCGCTTCCGTTGTAAAGAAGAATTTGGCTGAATATTTTAAATCCTCAATTTAATTTTTTCGAACATCTTGTCTACAAAATCATAGTTATGATAAGATATCGAATACGTAGAACAAACTTAAACGTTCTATTTATTTGAAAAAAAAAACGGTTGTATGGCATTACTTTCTAGAATTGCTTGAATATCAATTAAGTAAGCGCACTAAATTTTCCATCTATAAACCCAATAGGGCAAGAACCTCGCAATCGGCGAAGCAATTATATACCTTCAGTAACGGCATTATTGACCTCAGGACCTGACAAATTGTGAATTATGTGAATTGTAAAATTTTTCTCATAATGGTTAAAGTATAAGTGGCCTTATTTGCAAGGGTTCAGACCGAGCTATCTCGCGCCAGATTAAACTATAAGGCGTTCTGTCGTGATTCTCTAGACTGAAAGATCTAAACGATAGGAAGTTCATGTTAATATATACTGCGAGTAATTTTATGCAGGCAATTTTAATAGAGATTAGGTAATATAATAAAAACTTAATGAATTGTTATCGAAACTTAAAGGATGTTGTTCAGCCTCATATATTGGCAGTCAAAATGGATACTTTACAGGAAGTTTAAAATAGAATCAAAATCCAAGATTATTTTCTAGGTATGGAGTAACTCCTTATATAACAAAAAAGATTATCGTCCGGCATTTTATTTTTATTATATTAATATTTGTAAAAGATAAGAAACACCTACCCGCGCTCATGGGTGACCATCGCGATGGCGACTTCTTCAAGCTTGTACGTGATGGCCACATCGATGGCCGTGGCGCCTTTCTTGTTCTCGTTGAGCAAGCAGCCCAGCGACATGAGCATTGACACGGTTTCCGCTCGACCTTCACGCACTGCCATGTGCAGTGCTGAGTTCTGAACGCCGGTTAAAACGGAGGAGAACATTCTTTAATGTGTCTCTCAATTTGTTAACAGGTTTTCTGAAAGCAAATATGGCTGATATTTTGCGCGTAGACAAGTGAAATGATGGTTACACGAAAGAATCTCTACGAAAATTGAATCTTAAGTCTTTTTAGATTAGTCTTCTAAACAGGTCAGTGGGAAGAAGAATACGAGTTATATTGTCAGTGATCTCTTAGAACATTTTCTTTCCGGAAAGAGGGAATCTAAAAAGTCATTGCTTATAAAATGAAGAAGCCCAGCCCCATTGCTATTGAATAGCAGCACATGCTCAAGCAAATCTCAATTCTAGGATTTCCATAAATTTCACTTTATTGTTTATTGAATAATGTGCATTGGAAACCTCGTATTATTATAATTAAATGCCATTTTAAAACCTTATATTCGAATTTTCAAATCATACAACAAGTCTTAGTCGTAAAAATGAGAAGAACAATAAAAATTAATAATAAGAAATATTCTCTATTTTTCATAAAAAATGCATAAAATAATGAATTCTGCCTAATACACCGATTTCATGTAATTCCTAGAATCTCCTTTTATTTAGACATTCACATGAAAAAGTTAATACGAAGTAACTGAGTATATCATTTATTTTGTCCTGCTGAGTGTTGCTGTGCTCCGTTTACTCTCTATAAAACTTGCGCCAGTGTTAAAATATGATACCCCTCGTGTTCAAAACTCTGTCGCAAATCTTCATAAGCAAGTTATTTCGAGAGAACTACTAAGAGAACTACGCTATAAGGATCTTCCGACGTTGAATGCTGTACCTTTAAATCTGACTGGCGACCGTCACAGTTCAAACCGCTCGGCCCTAGATCTGTGTTTAAAACGACGCCGCGAATCTTTATATATATAAGCAAGTACTTCTGACTATGAGGACTACGCTTTTTACGATCGTCTGACGTTGATTGCTGTGCCTTTAAATCTGATTGTGTGCGACTGTTACTGTTCCGACACCGATCGGCCATCTTGGCTTGTTCGGCCCCTCTTGGTTTGAATCTTAAGGTGGCTGGAGCGGTCGTATCGCCAGGCTCTGTCTTAGCTGGTTTTTCTCGCCACTCACGGGGCTTAATTGACGCAAACTAGTCTAAGTGTGTTTTAGAATGAGAGGACTAAATTGTGAGTATTCGTTTGACGTTCGCTATATTCGGCTTTAAGCTGACTGTAGACGTGCTTCACTGTTTTATGACCAAAGCTGAATCTGGCTGCTATACACGGCATCGTCGGCTACTCGACGAAGCGACTGCTACCCTGCGGTCAGCTGCTGCATTTCTTGATCCATCCGTCAGTGAGAGAGTAGATTTACACATCGTGCCGTCCACCACGCCTTGTATGTCTTATTGTGGATGACGTGCCGTCCGAAATAGACGTCCTGCTGCCACTTATCGAGCAGTTCGCGAAAACGGTGTGCTCTTCATCACTAGTAATAGGCCGTTGCTATGGCGGCAATCATTTGCGCTGAACTCGACGCCTGCGAATGCTGCTGCTGGGCATCGGGCTGTGTTGACCCGTATGCCTCAAAACCTGATTGGCGTTTGTGTTGATCGCGAATGTGTGCAGCCTTTTCGTTTTTTATCGTTTGGCTGCCTCAACCTACGTTCGCTGAATAACAAAAGTGATGAGTTTCTTCACATCTGCCGCTCGCGGTCACTAGATGTCATCTGTCGTCTCCCTGACCGAGACCTGGCACGACGCTGACTAGGCTTGAACCGCGCGTCTTCGCGCTGAAGGACTCCAGGTAGTCGAGAGCGAGCGGACCTGCATGACACCCGACGCACATGCGACAAATTACAGCGGAGTAGCTACCGTAGCCAAAAGGGGCGAGTGCCTTGCCATTCTTGACATGACGCCCGACCCACCACCCTTGAGCTGCTATATGCCATGGCACTCGCGTCTCGTTCACGGGCGTTGGTGCAGTCACCATTTATCGTCCCGAATCGGTCGCTGTGGCGCGTGATTTTCTCCTCGAATTGAGGAAAATTAGTTTACTTGAAATTAACTGCAACTGAAGCTTTACCGATCAGTATTAATGCATCAGTCATATTTAGTCCAGTTATGAACTGGAATGAAGAATGAGATGTCTTTTTTCACAATCGGATTTTTCGTTCAATACAATTATTCCACGATTCAAAATTCGTCGGTTGATTGAACGTGTAATAGCAATTGAGAATCTACGACCACCGCACTACAGTTTGTTTTCTTCCATGGTTTGTAGGACATAATCATAATAGAATTTAAAATTTACGATAATTTTTAATTGTTTGGGGCTTGAATTTTCATTAAACGAATAGAGATTTGGAGCGATTTATTCACACCACGGTGAAGCCAATTTGACATATTCAAATTCTTTGCGTGTGACAATTTTAAAGAAATTCAATAAGTCAAACAAGGCTTTTGTGGAGCACGAGTTAATGCCACATTCTTATTAATCTGATCATAACGAACTTGTTTATGAGCTCTTAACATTTTTCAAGCAACCGGAAGTTGAGCAACTAATAACTTGTAATCCTATGAGTTCTGCATGTCAAAACATTCATAAGAAAATATAACTCAGTACTCACTGCGCTGAGTGACAGAGAGCGCATTTTCTCGGCGACGAAAACTTGTGGTCACGGACGGACGGACAGACAGACATACAGACAGACGGACATGGCGAGCACAATAGTGCATTTTTTTCCATAAATGAGAAAAAGCGCTAAAAATCTCACCCCTTCCCGGTCGGTCTGGTCGAGCATGTGGCCGTGCACCGCCAAGAGGATGTTGATGGTCTCGATGTGCCCTCTCGAGGCGCTTAAATGCAAGGGCGTCCGTCCCTGGTGGTCGCGGTGAAGTAAAGCGCCTTTGCTGATTAGCAACTGCACCAACCTGCTGTGTCCTGCCAATTAGCGAGAGATGAAAGGTTAATATGAAGCTCAAGACAGAATAATTTTTCTACATTTTTTTAATCTACATCGAGTCATGTAATGAAAAGTAGTTAAGGTTGACTTGCCTTCTTCGCTGGCAATGTGCAGAGCAGTCTTGCCGTCTCCGTTGCTTTCGTTAAGAATCAAAAAGCCCTTCGTGGACTCCAGTAGTTGACGCACAGTATTGTAACGCCCGTATCTGATGGGGTAGTTCCTTATTCATAAATTATATTCTTGTATGTCGTATACATAATTTCCGCATCTATGACTTATGTCACCTATCTCTCGAAATGCCATGTTTTTGAATGTTATCCTCAATAAATGTTTTATTTTATGTATTTTAAATATCCTCAACGCATACCATTGAGAAATATTGAGCAGCCAGTTATCCGTATATATACATTTTTCATGCGTTGAACTTCTTTTCTTATTCCATCCCCATTTACAATCATTCTCGATTCTGCTTCTCCAATGACAAATCAAAGTGTAAAAAGCCTTCCTTCACGCCATCAAACACCCCAAGTTCACAACTCACTTGGCGGCGAAATGCAAAGGACTTTCATTTCTGTGGTTTTTGGTGCGCACGGAAGCGCCGAGTTGAATGAGGGACTCCAAAGACTTAATTTGTCCGCTCTTGGAGGCGTAGTGTAGAGGAGAGCAGCCCGATATGTCCTGGTCGTTCAGCAGTTGAGCCAATTTCATGGGGCTCTGAAATTTTCGCATCCATATTAATGATCTTCAATTCTAGATTTTCATACTAGCAAAATGATCTAATTGCGTCTATAATTATTTTCTTAATTCGAATTTGTTCAAGTTTGTGGTTGTCAGGTTAACAAGGATTCTCAGGTGTCTTGGTGAAAATTTCCAGCCTGGTACATAAAGCTGCGACTACCGTGAATATATTCGGGTTTCACGTTTGTTGACTTTGCCATCCAGATTGAAGTGTTACAATGGATAGCTCATGAAGTTCTACACTTCATGATAATTTTTTGAACGAAAAGAAGCCTACAAGCTTCTTGATGGATCCAATTTGATAAATTCGTATTTATTTATGTGTAAATTAAAATTAATAATTTATACACCAATAGAAAGAGAAAGATTAATTTCTTAATCTATTCAAACCTATTCATACTTAACGCTATTAGCATTTTGATGTCCGAAACTTTTTAAATCAATCACCTCATGAGCGTTGGATAGGACGCGGAGGAAATGAAGTTCTGGCTCTACACGACTGGCCCCCGAGATCACCTGATCTCACCCCGTGTTTCTTATGGGGCTACGTCAAGAAAGCTGCTTACGTCCCGCCTCTACCAGCAACTCTGTTTACGTCCCGCCTCTACCAGCAACTCTGTTTACGTCCCGCCTCTACCAGCAACTCTGTTTACGTCCCGCCTCTACCAGCAACTCTGGTTGATCTGAAGAACCGTATCAGTGCTACGGTGCACCCAGTAACAGAAGATATGCTTTCTCGTGTGTGGGACGAGATTGGCTACCGTAAGTGTTTGGCCGTGCAGCACAAGGGGGACATGTTGAACACTTATGAATATGTAAAATATGTTCTCTTTCCTTGGTGTTTGAATTATTCATTTGAATTGATACTTAAATAATTACTAATTTAATATATTGGGTCCATCATTTAGAATAACCATGTATTATGACCTACTTAAGGCAAAAATCTAATTTGTTTGCTAATTAATCACTCGTATCTTTTATAAGGTAAACTTAATTCAAAATTTCATAGAAAAAATTATCCCGCAACAAAATCCGTTTTCGGTACTAGGTTATACAGGGTCCTTCAAAAAAAAGTCCCTGATTTCAATAGGCTTTTGCAAAACTCATACGACACATAAAGAACAATTAATTTCATTTGTGAATAGCTTATTTGATGCCATTTTATATCATTTAGTACACTTTACTTGGTTTTGAAAATTATGTTTGATAAATGATGTCCCCCATTGTTAAGACATTCACGAAGTCTTTCCCTGAAGTTGCCCATAACGGAGTGAAACAATGTCATTGATTGATCCGCCATTCATCACGATGATGTGGAGAATATTTTTGCAGGAGTTATCCCTGATGCCGGGGTCTGCCCCCAACTGCAGCAGCGCCTCCACGGACCTCCAACAGCGCTGCCCGGCGGCGAGGAGTAGAGGAGTTCTGCTCTCGCAGTCGCCGGTGTTGAGGGAAGCGCCCTATACAGAAGAGAACGGAATCTGTGTAATACTCCATCTGAAGTTATTTGTTATTTACAAGGAAGTTTTGACATGACTGGGCAGGGTGGCCCAGTGGTTAAAGTTCAGAGTACTAGGATTGGAGCAGAGCGGCGCTGGTTCGATCCCAGCTCTGTGCGTCAGTTTCTGGTCAGATTCGGCGAGGAGGCAGGGCGGTTAAGCAAAACAAAATTTAAGCAGTGAGTTGCGAGTTCAAGCCCGCAACAAGCTGTGGAGGTTCTGCAATGTTAAGAATCGGCGACAGGCCTCCGGCCTAATAAACGCTGACACCGCTAAATATGACATCAACGATTTGCCTCGGTTTCCCCGCCATTAAGATCGTATAGATTCTAAAAGCAGCGCGACAGTTTCTGCGCAAAGTTTTCATTAGTGATGTCGAATTCGTTTCTCTTTAGCTGAACCGATATTTGCATTATGATTACACATAATAAATAAAATTACACAAGTTAAACTTTCAAAATTAAGAACAGTATATATTTTACAATGTTGGTTTATATATCGGTAGTGGGTGGAAATCGATTCACGATTGGTCACAATCCATTAACGACAATCCATTCATTAAGGAAATCGAAACTTGTTTCAAACGAATGATTTTAAATGATTCAGCACCGGAAACACTTATTATTGCAATTTGATGTACTTGATTTAAACAAAGAACTCATATTTAGGAAAACAGAGTAAGTATTTTGATCAGATGTGATTTTTTAGAATCTCACCTCCATGACGAGATAGCGCACCAAGTCTGGATGGTCGAACATGGCTGAGCAGTGCAAAGGCGTCATGCCACGAGCATCCTTAGTGTTCAGAACTTCAAGTTTCTACAAGATAGTAAACGCAGAGAATTTATTAATGTGTGACCTCTAAAGTAGCAATGACCAAAAATAAGAAAATGGACAACCATGTAGCTGTATTTAAAACTAATGAGATAATTTGCGTTCAAATTTTGAAAAAAATATAACTCGGTACTCACTGCAGTGAATGACAGAGAGCGCATTTTCTCGTCGACGAAAACGTGAAGTCACGGACGGACGGACAGACAGACAGACAGACGGACGGACAGACGGACATGGCGAGCAAAATAGCGCCTTTTTTCCCATAACTGAGAAAATTCACTAAAAACACGAATTGTAATAACTAAATGCTTCTGTCCGAATTAGTTAGAATTTTAATAAGATAAAGCATGTGCATCTTTGATTGAAGTCTTTGCGTGGCAGTTTTTTCGTAAATTTACCATAGTCGGTCTGCCAGCTGGCGACCGCATTTGAATTTTTGTACTGTTTTGTCCTCATTATGTTGCATACAACTGTGAGGCAAAAATTTAAGTTCAGCGGAAACTCTGTTGCACAAAATGAATCGTTCAGAGGTTAATGTGGCTTGTAGGTTAATCTCTGGAATATCCCACAGATAAAGAAATACGTTCAAATGAAACTTGGAACCCTCAATTTTGAACTCAGCCTTGAAAAAGAAAATAATAGATTAACTTGACGAGCGGTTTGAAATGATTTCACTTTTTTACCAACCGGTTGATAAAACAGCTTTGGCCTAGCTTTTGACGAGACAAAAATGAGCGGCTAATTAGCGTAGATTTGCGTAGCTAATCTGTTTCACTTCAAATACATATCTATGATCATATACAGTTATTATGCGAGCGAAGTATTTTAACGTTATTAGAATTAGCATTTCGACATTATGCTTATGGCATGATTAGATTTCAATACTGCTTGCCAAAACTGAATGAACAATAATGAAAATATTCACCATATACTTACAATAACCATATCCATTCACCATATACATTCAGCATATTCCTTCACCATATACCCTTACCATAAACCTTCACCATATACATTCACCATATACATTCACCATATACATTCACCATATACCTTCACCGTAAACCACCATGCACCTTCACCATATACATTTACCATATATGTACCTTCACCATATACCTTCACCATATACCTTCACCATATACGCATTCACCATATACGCATTCACCATATACGCATTCACCATATACATATTCACCATATACACATTCATCATATACACACACCACGTACACCATCTAACCTGTTGTGGCTGCATTGTGAACATGAGCTTGACGATGTCTAGGGCCCCCTGAGCGCAGGCCAAATGCACGGGTGTGTTGCGGTCGTGCTGCTGCATCGAAATGTTAGCTCCGTTCTTCAGGCAGATCTCCACAGCCTTGGAAGAAGTGATTATAAAACTGCAATTATATAAAATTCATATATCGCACTTCAGATGTAGGTTTTAGCCTTCGCGAGAAGGTTTCGCATGACCTAGATGAAAGAACGATAAAAATTTTTGAAAAATTCAAATTTGTCAAATTCAAAAGTTCACATCTAAATTCACAAGATTTTTTGTAGATTAGGTTTCGTTTCATTTTCAGTAAGCATTTACAACATTTTCCATAGACTGAAAAAAGTTCTCAGGAAAAGAACCTTCGTATATGATGGAACCAGGAAAGAAGTTGATGCCGTATTTGAAGAAATCGTCATCTAATTAGGAATTTTTTAGAGCCTCAGCCAGTTAGATTTAACACAAAGTATTATTTGAATAGTATTTGAACACGAAGATCAACTTAAGGTATCTAAGGATACCGTCCAAATTATTGATAAGCATGGAACATATCGTAATGTATAGCCAACATTTCGAGAACATTTCGTCTCGCGAGTCACTATATAATTAAGGTGTAGAGCTGACATGGTGCAGAGCTATTCCATGCGGACAACGTGGAATAGCACCTGTACAACATGTTGTGTAGTTAGTGTATTTAGGAATTTATTTGTAAAACTATCATCTTAAATTTTGTTATCCAATAATCTTGATTCTAATTTATCCGTGTTATTTTGTTATTCATGCGCGTACGAGCGGAATAACTGTCCTCTCTTCTTCGTCACGTAATGCTTACGCTAAACTGTTTCTCACTGCTATGATTAGATTCATCACTATGAGGTTGTTTCTAAATAAAAGTAAGGATTGCGTGAATTGTGACTGAACCAATGGCATCATTCTTATAAAGAAAAACTAAAGTTTGTTGAAGTAAAATGTAAATAATTCGATGTAGTAATTCTCTCGATAATGCAATTTCTCATAAAATTACCAGGAATACCGGCAAAGTTTAACTGCGTCAAAAAAATTAACATGTAGCTCATCGACCAAAGAGAAATTCTGTGTGAAATGAGAAAGACGCCTAATTTTGCTCAATAAAAAATTAACTCGAACAGATAGACAAGAGGGAAAGTTTTAAATTCAATTATTTCTTTTCCCGACTGGACTAAACTTCAATCATAAACTCAAGAAATTAATTCAATTCTACCTTACGAGACAGTTAATTTCTTTCCTAATCTAAACCCATCAAGAAGATTTTAATATATTTCGAGTTTTCTCATCATAAATAATTAAAAAATGAATAATGGAGCAAGACCGTGTCCTTCCTCTTTGTGTTACGTCAGAATATGAAAATGCAGAGTTCCATATTAGAGTTTGCTGCTGTAATAAGTGCTGTAGTTGTTCCGTTTTCGTTCGATGTTCGAGACTGTAAGTTTATAATCACAACCTGAGCTGGTGACAAGCCAGCAACGTGTCAAGTTTAATTGCCAGTTATAGCGATGCTTCGCAAATAACGCGTTAACTTGGTCTGATTGGACCTTAATTGGCATCGATCTAAGAGTTTCTTCCTAACTTTACCTGCAAAAAATGTGCAGAAGCTTCAACGTGAGAAAAATATAGGCAGGTTCAGAAATTTCCAGTTGTGACTAAACTCTTGTATTTTCATTAGTTACCTCACATTCCGAGTGCTCAAAGTGAGAGCACCATGCATCAATGACGCAAATATTCGTTTAGCAATATTACGTATCAATGAATAAATAATATATTTTTGTACCTGAGTTATAAGTTGAAAAGGACTCGAATTGATTTATAACTTTTGACATATCAGGAAAATCGTATTTACCCAATTTATTTATGAGTATGAATTTGTGCAAGAAAGGGTTTTGCAAATTAGCTTGCTGAAAACTTAATTAGTAGTTATTTTACTCCCTATAAAGGACCATATATGACATCACTTTTAAAGTTTTTTCTTCCAAAACTCTTGAACCTTTTTGTTAATATATTTATTCATATCTTATTTGCCAATTTGCTCTTTCGTTAATACGAAGAAAACAGGCATCCTTTAATTTCAATGATGGTTCTCAAAAGTCTTACCTCTAACATATGAAGGTACAACTTGGCTTTGTCGTAATTTTTCTAAAATTAAAATGTCCTCATCTCTACGGAGAAGACTTTAGGTCTTCTTCAAACTTTAAATTAACTTACCTCGAAGTCTTTCCAGTCCTCAACTTCAAACCTTCTTATGTGCAAAAAATGAAAATGGCTGGCTTCGTAAATTCAAGTTTGACTTTAAAAATGCATTTGACAATGATTCTTACAGTGGGATAATTTCATTTGCTGTAATTTATACAACAGTAACTTTCTTTATGATGCATGTTGCTCAGGTATAAGAAACCCGCTTTGGAGCTACTGGGGTGTACGAATGGATAACTTAAATAAATTATGAGCTCATTACATCGATGCATTAAAATTCGTGCGGCATCACTAGAAACGTTCAGCTAGATGCGTAATGGCATTTACTGCTGATATGCGGCAGTGCTGAGGTGTTATGATTTGCCTAAAAACAGAAATGCTGACCTTGAAGACTGAAGTTTGAGTAAATAAATTGACTTCTAGAGCACGTAAATAGATACAAGTTTTTTGTTGTTAGTTCTATGAAATAAATTTCTTCATGTATTACGTGGGCTAAAGGAATATTTTAATAAGCTGTCAGGTCAAAGTTTTTGGGCATAAATATAATTTGTTATTTTCAAAAAGCCGTTGCTTTTGCGGCTCGCCCCATTTCGCTTCCTTAATGCATCACCACTATATTACCTTTACAAGCTTTCATTATATAATCTTATGTATGTTATGTTATGTAATATTATATTGTATTATATTACATAATGTTATACTATATTATGTTATGTTATATAAATTATATTATATTATATTATATTATATTATATTATATTATATTATATTATATTACTTTGATTGTAAGTCAACCCACCTTTATTTCACCTCCATGGACCGCGAGATGTAGAGGCACGTTGCCCTCCAGGTCCGGTAAGATGATCATGTTGGCGCGTTCACATCCTCTTTTTTCCGCCCACGACAGCAGCACCTCAAGCACCTTCACGGATGCATTTTTAGCCGCCAGATGGATTGGGTAGAAGCCGTTGTTGCAAGGCTGGTTGGGACACACCGTGTAGCTTTCGATCTGTCAAGTTTTTGAGATGTTCTTCCTACATTTGTCAATGCGATTTTAAATGCGTTTTAATCCATAAAATGGATAAATAATTTTATTGCTTTCTTATTCAAAGTGAATCAGTATGTGTAATTTTATGGACTATTTGAATAATAACAACAAATTGAAGGGATCCGGAAAAGTTTGGATTTATTTTGCAAATTCCCGTCATACTCATTTGGCAATGCAACACATCTAGGGTATAAGATCAGACTATTCATTTATTTTTTTTCGTTGCATCACAATCCAGCCGGTCACTCAAAAGTCAATACACGATTCATTTGAAAAAATTCTTGATTTAAGGAACATTATATTAACATGATCATTTAGGGAACTTGAGATAATATCTTTTATATAAACTCGTTTTACTTACTTGATGACCTTTAAGTTGATTATTCACGAATGCTCAACTAAATTAAAAAACTCTAGAGTTGCTTATTAGAAGGTAATACATAGTTTCTTTGGCCACTATCTATGAAGATTCTTCAGCTTAATTCTAGCAAAATCTTTACACGAAATTTCTTTGAACTGAATTGCATTAAATAAGGAAATGTCACTAACAAGAATGAGGGCGGCCTCGTCGTGGTCCCTCAGCGCCGTGTGGTGCAGCGCAGTCAAGCCGTTCTCGTCGCCCTTCGTCAGGTCGATCTTATCACGGTGCTTCACGAGCGCCCTCAGCACGTTCACCTGGTCAAAATAAATCCACCAGGATGAATTTAATCCTCGTTTCAACTTGATTTTTTATTTATTTTTTTTATCAAGACCTCGTTCCAACTTGATTGGTCTTGTCCGCCACGATGAATTTAATCCTCGTTTCAACTTGATTTTTTTTATCAAGTCCTCGTTTCAACTTGATTGGTCTTGTCCGCCACGATGAATTTAATCCACGTTTGGTGGATTAAATCTCAACACGTTCACCTGGTCAAAACAAATCCGCCAGGATTACTTTAATCCACGTTTGATGGATTAAATCTCAGCACGTTCACCTGGACAAAAAAAAATCCACCAGGATTAATTTAATCCACGTTTGGTGGATTAAATCTCAACACGTTCACCTGGTCAAAACAAATCCGCCAGGATTAATTTAATCCACGTTTGATGGATTAAATCTCAGCACGTTCCTGGACAAAAGAAATCCACTACGATGAATATTATCTACGTTTGGTGGATTAAATCTCAGCACGTTCACCTGGTCAATAAAAATCCGTCACGATGAATTTTATCCACGTTTGGTGGATTAAATTTAAGACCAACTCGATTGGTCTTGATCAGTTAAAGTTAGTATTGATATTTGAAAAGTTTCTTGCGTTATGTATAAGTTTCAGTAAGCAGGTAAGAAGAAAAATTCTAAACAAATTTAAAAGAGGCTGAAAAAATATGATAATTTTTTTAAGACACAAATAGAGGTATGTGTTAATAAATATTTCATAAGTATTGTAAAAAATTTTAATTTCCTGAAAATAAGGCATGTACGAGCATTGAGACTAGTTAAATGTTGCCTGATTTTTTGATTTGTTGATTTTTTTTGCTAACAACACGATTATTTGATTTGTTGTTAGCAAAAGACTTGATGAAGTTGATATCTCTAGTAAACAACAACATGAAATCAGTGGAGAACCAAGAATATACAGTAAATAACGTTTACGGTATGCTTGAAATGTGCAATTTATACTTTATATTCTGATTCCGTAAGAAAAGATGTAGCAGGATCAACTGAGGGCTCTGAATGCGAGTATTGACACCGTGTTTGAATGAAGCTTTGTAACCGATATAAAGCCGCAAGCAGCCAAGCATAAAAGATCTCTGCAAACCCTGGCACGAGAATATTAACTGCCGACACTAGACAGCAGCCGCCATATTAATCTGTACAGCCGATGCAATGTCGAGGGTCATAACAAACGCCATGTCAATTGACGCTACCAACGCCATATAGAGTCAAGTTACTGGGACACTAAAAAATTGCTTCACCGACGAAATCGTCTTTAACAAAGAAAAATACACTGATATTACGGACGCAATTTCCCAGTCTCAGTGGAATCTCTACGACAATATCGAAGTGATACAACCAGTGCAGTATCACAGAGATATCACCGATGTAGCGTCATAATGTCATCATCCTTGCTGTATTAAAATGCCATCATCATCGCAATAAGAGAATTGACATCACAACCGTAGTATCTGAGTGGCATCAATGCTTTAATACAACAGTGTCATCACCAAGGCAATGACGCAGTGCATGGCATGTGGGGCACTGCGATGTCATGTTAGTGACACAACCGAGCCCTTGTTAAGATCCTTAAGTCCAGGGTTGAATTAATACATTACAATTAATACAATTGGTTCAACTATGGTTAAGTCCGTCACCTTATCGTGGATCACGGAGAGGTGCAGAGGAGTTCTGCTAGAGCCATCGGCTGCATTCACGTCAGCGCCGCTGCCCAGACAACAGAAGGGAATTGTCAGTATATAAATGAAGACTAAAAAAAGACTGCGATCGCGTGAAATGGAAAATTTAGAGACACGATAAGCAAGAATTGAGAAATAAATATAATGTGAAGATACGTAAAAATAAGCAAATTAATAAAAGATTTGAGCTTGGATAAATTACTTATAGCAAATACAACGGGATTCTTAGTTAAGAGAGAAAGTAGGGAGAAATTAAAATCTAAAAAAAGGACAAAAATACGCGTCAGACGAAACTTTGCACTACGTAAAAAAACGAGAAACTGCAAGCGAATAAATAATTTAAAATCAAAATCCTTTTTTAACTTTAAGGATAACCTTTGAACACTGGACCCCTATTTTTCCGAGAGTAGGGAAGCAATTAGATTGAAAAAATTCGTACTCATGGCGTGGGTAACGGAAGATACGAAGCGGGTTCATTTTGATCGAATTACAGCTACATTAAAAAATCGTTAGGTCAGGACGATGTGAAACACTGAACAATGTTCGCTGGTGGAAAAATCGCTAATATTTTGTCCCGGTTTCAGTAAAATATATAATTTGAAATGAAACAGGTTAAACAGCTTTATTAACAGCTGCACATATTGCGATGAAACAGAATTTTCAAGGTTTGCGATTTTACTGGTAATTTAACAGGAAAGTTTCTCTCACTGTGCAGTGTATACGAAAGAAAATTAATTGAAAGATTGAGGACTGAATAGCATCTGCATTTGTAGATGTTATAGTTATTTGCTCGTTTTCGATAACCCGAAACTACCAATATTGAGCCAATTTAAATGCAGTATAATGAACTCTTGACGGAGATCAAGCAATTTTTTCGTTCATTAACTTGATACCACATCTTATTTTAATCACTTCATGTACGTACATTATTGATGGGCTTCCGATAATTTTGAGAGTATTTTATTCTGTCTCGACTCAAACTGGGTTACTCTTTACCAAAAATTTGTCAATAATTTTCAAAATCTTAGTGGCAGGTTAATTGTTTACATTTTGAATAAGTTTTGTGGAAATTTCCTCTATCGTCGATCCGCTAATTCCTTTTCAATGGAATTATTCTAAATATAGTCCGAAATTGGTAACTAATTCATTGGTCGTGAATTTGAACGCTTGCCATCGTAAAACGATATTGATATGATGTTATATAGATTTTTTCTAATTCGCTGAATATAATTCAATCAGAATTTAGATTGAAGAAATATTATAATGGTCACCAATTTTTTCTTCACTTGCGTAAAGCAAGGTGCATAAAGATCTTTTTCAATAACGCAACTTTGAAAAAAATGCTTCTTTTGTTGACAATTGCAGTATAGAGATAGCATTTTTAAATTGTTTAATTTGTACAGTTCTTATTTTATATAAACTAGGTCATCTCCGTGAATGATACACGAATCGCTTCAACACTGAAAGCTACTATGTTTACAGCGGAAAATTTATTTCATGGCGGATGGATTTGTATTGAACTTTTATTACATTGCGTCGTGACCGTAATAATCAAGGTTCGAATCCTGGTCATGGCACCAAAGATATTTTGCGGATGGATATGAATTACGAAGCTTTGAAGATGGTCGCACAAACCAGCACAAACCGCAGATTATGGCACAAACCCGTATGTCAACGTCGGGACTGCGCTACGTTACCGACATCTTGAGACGCTGGCACGAAACCAATGAAGGAATAGACCAAAGTATAAACGCCTCGTTTCCATTGCAATTACGACTGTCAAGCAAAGTTGATTCCGTTCGATCACTGCGGTGTGAGGTCTCTCGATTTGATCCATCACCCCAGTTATATTATACAGTGTGTTCGTTTCTTCATAAATTTTGAAATTTATAAACTGCTTTATACGCTTTTCTCCGCCTGCTGACTCACGCGGACTTATATTGAGTTAGAGTTAGCGACCAATGCGCAAAGCAAAGACGAAAGTCCTCCAATTGCATGAAACACGAGCAGTGTTAAAAAATAGGTTGCTCAAGGACAGGGTTGCTAGCACTGCGTCTATTCATTAGCTTAAACTTCTTGAAAAGCGAACGGCGCACCTACAATAATTCACTTCCTTACGTTCCCGACCAACGATCAGTGCAGCATCAATTAATCGGTTAATTAAAACAGTGAGCAGGGCATTACGTCAAAATACCATGAAATTATTACACCTGCCAAGTATTCATGGGAGCAAGTCATATTTTTCTAATTCAAATTTGAGGACTTCCATCGGGAGGAGACGTGTTAGAAAATTGTACAATCACTTTAAGTCGTGTTCAAATACCGACCGCGATATACTGTAGTATAACGGAAGGCATCGTTTATCAGGAAATTAAAATTTTCGGTCATTCGGATTCCGTTAAAAATCAGCTAATGCAACTGATGCAGTTTTTTACTTTTTTAATGTATAGAAGGTGGTGGTTCTTTCTTCTTTGTACAACACTTCACTTCTTGTTGTTTGTTTGTCTGCTACAAATCTTATAATCGATATTTAAAACACTTCTACCTTTCTATTCAATCTGAAAGTTTGCACTTCTGCGTAAAGTCATAGAAAATGCATGAATCAATTGACAGAATTAAAAAAATGGAAAATTATTTTTTCATTATTAAAAAAAGTGAACAAATAATTTTGTCCGCTACAAATATAATAATCGATATTAAACACACTTCAAGTTGCCCAATCGATTTGAAATTTTGCAAACTTGCGTAAATTCGGAGACAATGCATGAATCAATTGTTAGAATAAAGAATTTTTAACATTTAATTTTTCTCTTTTAAAGGTATGTAAATAAAATTAGAAATTTATTTTACATGTGTAACATCGGAGACGCTGGATTCTTTTGAAGTGTTGTCTTTAAAAATCAATTTTTAAAAGCACGTTATTCACTTTGTTCCGGGCTGCCTGCTCTAGAACTTCAAACGATTACACCTTTGGACACGCTCTAAACTAATTATAAATTTCCCTAGAGGAAAGCTCGCGTAGGGAGTAAGTTTTCGCAGGTGCTTATGTACTCAACATAAAATGTCAATCGCTTAACAACTAAATCGTTTGGGTCCATGGGAGAGACTGTTGCGAGTCAGTTATTGTTTTAATGCCAGGTGGATCTGGCTAGCGAGTACCAAGTGGATTAAGAATCTGGTCCTTAATTCCAATACTTCTCTGCATTAAATATTGAATTTTCTCGTGCAAACAACTAATTGCGATTACATTCAACCGATTAAAAATAGAAACTAGAGAAATTTATATAAAATTTAAAGTCTCTGATTACAAATTTCAATTCCGAGTATCGCCATATATTTACGATAAAACGCGCACACTCTTTCTGAACGTTCGCATTCATAAGGACTTCAGCGGTTGATAATGTGCCTCCATGGAATAGGATTTTTATTTCTTAAGAAGATAAAATTGCGGATTGTTTGGCTCGAGATTAACTTCTTTACTAGATTAGATATACGAGCAAGTCAAAATTATCGGCTATTTGTATGCTAAATGTCAAGCGCGGCTTTGAAGAATATAATATACTCTCTGGGGGTGAAAAAGACGAACGTGTATTTTGACTTGCCACTTTAATGGTCGGGTATTGTGACGAAAACATTTATTAATTAAATGACTGATGCGTTGAAAATTAAACAAAATCTCAAAATGCTAAAAAAATTGTTGCCTGCGTACCCAACTTGTGAACGCGCAAATGTAAATCATAACGAATAAAAAAACTTACCAGAACGTAACGGATGAACAATGAAATGCTACTTCAACGTAATCGATTCTACTTGATGCTCATCCGAATTAAGAGGCGCAGTTACTGAGTAAATATGCTGTAACCATCATCTGTCTAAACAGTAGATATAGCTTTTCTGGTTCTACGTACTAAATAGCTGAGCCCAAGCTGGCTCATTGAATGCATTATTTTAAATATGTTGTAGTGAGCACATGTGACAACTTTTCGTCGTACATTTTAAAAGAAAAGGTAATGTAAAGATGAACTGATAAACTATTTGATCGAAAAATATATCAGATTTCATTAGAATTTATGTTTTCAAAAAATATTTTCTTAATTTTAATTTGAAATATATGTTTGAACTGTTACTTTTTAATTTTTATAATATCTGCTCTATCAGCTTGTAGATCACTGGCATAAAATGATAGTTGTAAATTATTTTTATTCTTCCAAGCAAAAAAACATGTGCCTAAATTAAAATATTAAAACTAAAAAAACTATTCGATTTCAAAAATAATGTAATACTGCTCCTGGCTACGCGAAAATTTTCAACATATTTGGTTGATAATTGTCTTTACTCTAAACTCTCTTATGCGTCATTTATAACAATTGTTGCTATCGGTTAAATGCAACCGTGAAAAATAGGTTCCTCGTGTACGCGATATATAAAAGTAAGTCACGCCTAACTTAACTTAACCTAACCTAACCAAACCTTTCCGAACCTAACCTTGTCGGGCCTGTCAGCTGCCGCATCAGCTGAGGCACCGCATATAGGCCTATAGTGATCGTTCTTTAGTAAAATACTTTTTCCAACAACCTAACCTAATCTAACCTAACCTAAACAAACATAACCTACCCTAACCTTACCTAACCTAACCTAACGTAACCTAACCTACCCTTACGAAACCTAACCTAACCTAACCTACTCAGTTTGTTGGATTTTACGGGTCCATGCAGAGCGCGCACCGCAGCTACATCGACTTCTCTATTTCGCAACTCACCCGCACCGCGGTTGCAGAGGAAGGCTATGGCCTCCTGCTGGCCATAGGCGGCCGCGTGGTGTAGGGGCGTCCACTCCTTTGGGTCCTTGAAGGACACGAGCGATGGGTCCTTTTGATATAAAGTTTCCAGCTCCTCGACCATCCCCATAGCAGCCATCTTTGTTCAGATGATTTAAAGGTTCTACATCAGCTTACCATATTCTTGGATTATATATCAATACATTCAATAAACTTTATTAAAAGAGATGGAGAAGTAGCGTCTTGAGCCCGCGAGTCATTTCTCCATCTTTTATGACTGTACACAATACGAGTGCTGAAAAGAAAGTCACTAATAATTCAATTGTAATATTGAATAAGAAATTGTAAAGTAATAGATAATACGAACCCAATGAATTTTTAACGTTGCTGAAACGGTAAAATTAAAATATTTAGTGTTAGTAGCAAAAACCTTTGAAGCGAGCATTTCCACGGGCAACAATGGTGATGGTGGGTGAAGTTTTAAATTTACGGCCGTGTATAATTTTTTGAAGCGAGCAGTTCCACGGTATAATGCCGTGTATTTTCCACGTGTATAATGCCCATTTTATGGGTATAGCGGCGGGACCTTTGAAGCGAGCAGTTCCACGGGCAGCAATGGCGATGTTGGTAAAATTTCAAATTTACGGCCGTGTATAATTTACGTGTTCCAACTTAACTTATATGTGACAGATGACAAAGAAAGACAGCTACCCATTGTTGAACTTCAGTTGCATCAGCGATCAACACAAAGAACACAGAGTAAACATGGCGTAATTCAAACTTAAATACGTGATTATTATACAACCAAGGTCCATTGCCATCAGATAAGTGCTTTGGTTGAACAATGAACTCAACAGTCACGCGCAATTTTATTTATGGCGTATTGATCGGATAGGCTATGAGGATCAATGGCCAAAAGAAATCCCTGGAAATTCACGACTGGCATTCTAAATATTACAACATATGAAATGATTGAGTTAGCGAAACAGCTTTGAATGATAGGAGATTCCTGCTGCGATTCTTACCTAAAGATTCATGCACTCAATTTTAAATTTCATAATATTAGTTCCATTGTTTAATTCTCACGGTATCAGATGAAATTACTGTCAACAATCTGTCATGACGGAAATAAAATGTGAAAAGTTTGCAAGTAAAAGACACACGGTTAGTACATTAATTAAAATTTATATTTTTATTTCCAGAACTCGTAGTGCATTAATATTAATTTAGAAAAGTTAGTTGTGTCAAAAATAGGCAAGAAAACTGTGCGAATCAATGGATGAGAAATAGTTATGTAATTTTAGTGGTCGAAAAATGTGCGGGAAGAGTAATGTAATGACTGCTGGTAAGAAAAACGGAGGAAAAGGGAGAGTTGAAGAAAATAAGAGAGGAAGTCAACCGTCAAAAATAGTTATTGAAAATAATGATGCAAGAAAGATAGGATGATAGTGAGAAAGTTAACAAAGAACCGATGAGGGAAGAGCAGCAATAACTTCGTCCCAAACGGTGATGCTGAAACCCTGGAATATTCTTCATCGTCTTATTTATTAAAGAAGTTGCACAAAATTATTGCTGCGGCTAAAGAGAGAAGCACGAATAGGAAACAAATAAAACGATATAGAGTTCATTATTTCAGAACACCAGAATTCTAGCTGAACACTTGAATTTAGTTTGTTATGCTTAAAACACTTTCTGTTCCTAACCATTCCGCTTTTGAAAATTAATCAAATAGTTGTTAATTATCGTTAAAAACAGTATCAGTTGATTGAAACAGAACAAATTAGAAATCATAGTGATGTCGGCGCTGAAGAATAGGCCTGATGTGGCATGAGCTTAGAAAGCCAAAACTTTCTAAGTGAGCGTAAAGCTGTCATAATTTCCTCCTCGGTACCTGGAACCAACTCAACTCCCTTATAAATGCAGAATTAAGAAAAAAAGGAGAGAAAGCGGCCTCATTTTATTCCGAATTTGTTCCAGGATCCTGATTGGCTTCTCTTACTTTGGCTAAAAGAAGTTCTGGACAGGAACTGAGGAGAAAGAAATTTAAAAGTTTAACAGAAAAGTTTATGACTTACCTTGTGCATCCTATAAGGGCTGTCGACCATGAGACACACTTCGGCTTCTGGGGGCTCTGACTCCACAGATTTGTTGGATTTCTTTTCGCTGACGTCATCTCCTGCATCCAATGGTTGCTGGAATATTAACATTATTGTTAGTTTCTTAAAGTATCTATACATTCTGATGTGGTAGAGAATGTTTTTAGTGTGATGTAATGGTCTGTGGTTCGTGATATTCGCATAGAGCGCGTCGGATCTCTGCAATCAAAGACATTTACATGGAGAAAATACAACAAAGTTAACCCTAAAATGTGAAAGTAATCGTGGTACAAAAAACTACAATAAATTTTCATGCTTATTAATTGTCTGAAAAATATTAAATCTAATACTCATCGCAGATTCATAGGCTTTTGCTATGTTTGTTTGCCAATTTAACATAAACACGTGCTTGAGACGTCAAATGGTTGGAAAAAATTACGAGATTGATTAATGAGAGGCAAAAAAAGAAGGCCATCGTTAGCTTCCTCCCAACGGCATTTCAATTTCAAAGCGGCATCATCAGGCTGACTGCATATCACGTCCTCGGGGGCCTAAATCCCACGTACCGGAGCAAAATATGTTCCAGGGTTGCCCAACACGCGAATTTTTGGAGAAAAACAAGCAACGAATGTTCAAATTCATTTGTGTATTTCATTCATTGTGTGTATTTTACTTGGTTTATTTACAATTACACAGTTTGTTAAAAGATCAAACAAATGTTGTGCAGTATGTCTCCTAGAGTGAATCGTAAATTATCTTATCCCTTTTATTATATACTCATAAAATCTGAGCGTGAATTTACTATTTTGGTTTGTTTATGTGAAAGGCCGCAAGTTTTTGTGTTTTGTGTTATGCCGTAAGTTTTTTAAAGCAATTCTGGAAAGTTTTCATCGAAGTTAAGGCTGCATTTGAGATTCAAATTTATATGACTAACATCTTATGATTTCGACACTGGAAGATCACATTTCAAATGAAAAAATTATGAGTAAGATGTGGTTGAGGTTTTATTACGAGAAACTAAGTGTCAAGGTAAACGCTTACATTTTTCAGTGTGACCCGTTTTAATTTATTTGTCGAACGGGAGATGAAAACAAATAAACAAAGCATAAGAATTATCAACAAAGTAAAAGAAAATTTTAGATGATAATATTATCGTTCAGATCAATGTGGTAGATATATGAAACTGGAGTTCACTAGTTTCATTCCATTGTTCAATTCAAACTAAACCATCGAAATTGCCCCAAAGTAAACCAAGTTCAGCATCAACACTCAAACATTGCAATTCAGCCAAAATGCAATGATAGATTGCGAGCTGAGAGTGAGAACGTCCCAAAACAAAATCAATTGACATATGTCGTGTATCTCTTGTGGGCGATCAATTCTTCAACGTTCAGCTAGCACCGTTCTGACTACAACAAAGATTATATAGACTTGACTTTGCTAAAGCTGGATCTCAATCTTATATACGTTGTTGTCGCAGGCAAATAAATGAAACGAGTGTGAACTCCTTTAATAATTGCGATGACGCTAACGATACAGAAGGGAAAGGATTCAAGGTCGCTAATTTTTTATCAACTAGGCGATAAATAAAAATGTTGATACAATTTTTTAAGCTGTAATAGCTTGCGTGGCTTCAGATGTCGCAGACAAATTTTCTGCTTACCCCGTTGCAGTGAAGAGTTTTTCTGGTGGCCCAAGCAGTAATTGGAGATCTCAATCTTATATACGTTGTTGTCGCAGGCAAATAAATGAAACGAGTGTGAACTCCTTTAAGCTGTAATAGCTTGCGCGGCTTCAGATGTCGCAGACAATTTTTGTGCTTACCCCGTTGCAGTGAAGAGTTTTTCTGGTGGCCCAAGCAGTAATTGGAGTTTTAAAAGAATGACTTTGATTGTCAGAAGTTAATTTCCTTAGAACATCTTCGATGCTATTAATTTTAAGGAGAACTGGATTCCATTTTGAGGGCATTTTTTCATGTGCAGGCGATTGCACCTGTTGTTATAATAACGTTTTGGACGTACCCTATTCCTAGAAACAAAACCACACTGTATTATTAAAACTAAATGGAACCGTATTGTCCAACACTGTTTGAAGGCATGCCTTCAGACGACAAACTATAAATGTTTAAATAATGTTTTTTTAAAGATACGCGGTTATAGGATATATTTCTTTTAATTTTAACTTTGTATGCGACGTTGCCACACTAAGAGAATATTACAGAGTTCCTTCTTCATTAGTCTGCTATTTGTGACTATGGAGAGCGTAACTTCCATTAGAAGCCATTGAACGTTCTCAATGGGTCTAAATTACTAATGAACAATCTATGGCTCCAAACACTTAGTTTATAAATGTGAAATTTTTTTATTACGTCTCAATATAACCTTTGCAGGATATGAAAGTGAAATATAGAAAGTAGAAAATTTTAAAAATTCATAGACAATCAGGTAGGCATTGCTATTTGATGGACCTTGATATTCATTATCTAAGTTAATTTATCCGTAAAAGCAAATGTTTAGGTCATTTCCTTTTCAGAATTAATTGATAACGGTAAAAGCAATTATTAATCAATGCTTCAAATTAATTAAGAAATTCATTGTCGACTATGGGGCCTTTAATCTCACAATAATACTCAGCGGTTGAGAGATGAAAACAATGGAGTGACCGAGCATCCAATCTGATTAATTATTAAGTTCGTTAGTGAAGTTACTAAATGTATTTCTATTAGGAGTCCTTTTATGCATTTCCGTGACGACGCGCAGAACAGCCTGAAGGGATATTTAAACATAACCCACGAAATACTTCATAAAAATCGACTTAATTATATAATACTGCTTTATGAATTTATTATTTTGTCTGAATAAAAATTTGAAGCAAGTGAATAATTAGTTGAACACCAAAAACATCTTACCGTTGCTCGAATATTATTTATATTGTCACGAAAAACAACAAATTCAGCATGTAAAAAAATCAATGAGTGGAAATAAATTATATTCATGATCGCGCTGTTATTTATGTCAAAATTACACAAAAATTTAATAATTTT